GTGGATCAACTCATTCTCAAACTTTAAAGCAGGAGCACTGTAGTCATTTCAGTAATTACTCTCAGGCAGTTCAGCTCACTCTTCTCCCCCCTCCCAGGGGTGACTCGGCAGTGATGCTCACCCTGTTCCTTCTCCAAGCAGTGACTCAGCAGCCTTCCAACCTCTAATGTAAACGCCCTCGGAGGGGAGGGCAGGGTGAGCTAAACTGCTCAGAGAACAACTTAGAGGATTTCAGTGCTTCTGCTGAGAGCATTACAATGCCTTTCCAAAAAAGTACCCAGACATTCCAGCTTCTGTAGTATATTAAAAAGCAATTTTCAGGTTTTAAAAAAGATGCTTCATTTCTATGGTATACCTGTAGGTCATGTGCAGCCTCTCCCCAGCCGACCCTCCCTGTCCTGTCTAAGTAATAGGATATGCCAGCCATCGGACGTGTGGCCCCTTCTGAGCAGGAACAAGCACTCTGGCTCATTCACAACCTGCATGTGCCCAGTGTGCTCTCTCCCTCTTGGTCGCAGCAGCGGAGTTCAGCATTGTGAATGATAAAAGAGTAATTAAACCGCATACACTGCATTACTGAACCTGAAATAATTGTGATTGCTCAAAAATTACATTACAAAAGAGGACAAGCAAGTAGAAATGTTAACTCAAAGCAGTGTTAGGCCTCATTCACACGAGAAACGGTCGGCAGGTACAGCTCCGTGCTGCGTGCACGGCCATATCGGGCAGCTCCCGGGAAGGATAGGTGCTGCGTGTGATTAGTACGCAGCCCCTGTCCTTCTCTATGGGACTATGCGGCCATATGCCGCTCTACGCTCACCTCAAGTGTAGGTCTGTACGGGTGCGGGTGTCCGCTTACGAGTACGGACACCCGCATGGACGTAGGCGTACGGCCGCGTAGTCCCATAGAGAAGGACAGGGGCTGCGTACTAATCACACGCAGCGCCTGTCCTTCCCGGGAGCTGCCCGATACGGCCGTGCACGCAGCACAGATCTGTACATGCCGGCCTTTTCTTGTGTGATTGAGGCCTAACACTCAAACTTGTTTTCAATAATGAATCCAGATCAAACTAAATATATATTGCCCAGCAAGGTATGTCTGTACATTTTTGCTTAAGCACTTACAGTAATCATGTTGCTGGACAGCTCCAAATCTCTCTCACCTCCTGCCCAGTTCAAGATCACAAGGGACAGAACAGTCTCCAGCAGCCAACCATTTACTAACTTAGAAAGGGGAGGAGCAGGGGAAGAGTCGGAGCAGGGGAGAGGGGAATGGCTTGCCTTGCTGTGCGTCTGTGCATGCAAACACAGCTTATTAACACAAAAGGGTGGCTCCATAGGACCCTGCAAGGGAAAGGAGCCACCCTAAAACAGGATATCAGGGCCAGTGCTCAGGGAACCAGCTGATTTTTCAGGAAGCTAAAGCTTATAACAATCAAGGAGCAGCATCCATTGTAAGTGATTTAAGATGCATTTAAAATAAACTTAAAAACCTTTTGACTTTAAGAAGCCATGAAACTCTAACCCAAGTAAAAGCAATTTAATCTGCAAAAAGACGTTTTCTCATTTTTTTTTAGCTTATGCTTTGTGAATGGGAACATGTAACAGATATAAAATAGAGGTTATCCAAGTTTGGCTGCAAAAGTGGAAATACACTTTTAGGTTATCAATGCTTTCCTAACTGCAGAAGAGAATTCCACGTTTTTCTGATCTGTACTGCTGTTTATTCCGAGTGGTATAGACCTTCTGGAACTTCAGTATAGAAAGACATATTTATTTGTAGTTCTGACCATACATACCCTTTAAAAGGAGAAGTATTGGGAGAGTAAAATGTACGCTTCCCAATAATTTGAGCCGGCATGTGACACTGAGGCTTAGTTCACACCAGAAACTGCATCACAACTGCGTGCGTCTGCGCAGTTGCACTGCGATCCGTTTTGATGGGTTTCTGATGCGTTTTGTTCTGCACTAGAAAATGCTAATTAGGACCATGTAGGTCACTTCCTTTTCCTGTCAGAGCATATCCTACGCTTGTTTTGCTCATTTGGGAGCTGAGTCATGCTTTCTTTATATGTTTGAGCAAAAGTGGACTCACCACATTGCTGTTTCTGTACCTTGTTCATCGCACCAAAATCAGGGTTCAACTTTTCACAAATCTCCCTCCACTTGGCCATCTTCTGACCATTGTTTTTATATTGGGGATGTTTGCCGTCGTACAGCAGGGGACAGTCCCGCACATATCGCATAAATTCCTCAGCATCTGCACCTACCATCTCTGCTATTTCTCTCCACACTACAACCATCAAGTCCCTGGATGAGGACATTTAAATCTGAGTCATTTTTGTATGCGTTTGCAATGCATTCCGGTGCATTTGATGCATTTGCAATGCGTTTGCACCACGTTTTGATGCAGTTTGATGTAGTTAAAGTAGGACAAGCAGTACTTTTTCTGACTGCAGTTGAACTGACTGCAATGGTGTGAATTAGGCACAAGAAAGCCCATAGGAAAGCATTGTGATATATTTTGACTGCAGCAGTCAAAATAAACGGACTGCATCACAACTGCATATGGTGTGAACTGGCCCTGAAGGTGTCATATGCCAGCTCTATAGATCCAGAACTGAGCGACCATCTCGAGGACTTCTGATTGTTCAGCTTGACTGCAGTGATCCCACCCCACGCTGTGTTCCTCCAGTGCTTATTGGAGGAACAGGCAAGGGAGTGGGCAGGCACAGCTGGCTCTGGCTCTAGAGACGCAGAGCCAGCTGTCATGCAGGCAGCGGGGTGGATCCAACAATATTGTCAGGACCTTTTCTGGCTGCAGCACAGCTCCGCGCTGTCAGCATATAGCAGGCAGTAGCCCGTTATATGCTGACAGGAGGACATTAGTAACCCCAAAGAGAACTATAGGCAACAAAAGGTTTGGCCATAGTTCGATTTGAATCACCTCTGCACTAAAGTGTGGCCAATATTCTGGAAACATGAGCTGTCAAATAGAGGTTAGAGTGCAGTCCCAAGTTGTGCCCGTAGGTGGCGCATGTCTTCTACAAAGAGGCGAGTGACTGCCGATAAAAGGGAAGGAGCAGAGGAAGGAGGGGTAGATCGGGGCGCTCTCCGCTGCTCTCTTGCACTGAGCTTACCTTCACGCCCTGCCAGCTCCCTTGTCAAGCTTCTGATTGGCAGAGAGCTCGCATGACATCAGAGAGAGAGAAAAAAGAAGACACATTGCCTGTGAGCGAAAGAACAAGCTCACCGGTCCGGCATACATGGACAGAGGGCTCACCTCCAAGCTCGACTGTTGCTGCACATGGGACAGAGAGGCAGCTAGCGGAGCCCGGACATCAGTAGACGAGCAGCCCTGTCTATGTACGGAGATGACTTCCCAGACCTGTGCCGGGGCTCCCAGCTGTAGAAGATCAGCGCTCACCTTGTAGACTTGAGAAGTGTCTTCCCTAGCAGCAGAGGGGAGAGGTCGGGACTGGGGTGCCTGGGGAAAGGACAGAAGTCAGGATTGGGGTGCCTGGGAAAGGAGAGAAGTCGTAACTGGTGTACCCGGGAAAGGAGAGAAGTCGGGACTGGTGTCCAGGGAAGGAGATCGCTTTTCTCCGGTGTGAACGATGTTTAAAAAGAGGAGGACTGTGCGCAGGACGAGCCCAGCGGATTGCTCAGCAGCCCTGGGAAGGACACGGTGCAGCGCAAAGTGATGTGGAGGACACTCGGAGAGCACCATACTCTCATCCAGACCCGAACTCGGCACACAGGTACCCCCACTGATCACCCCTCTACTGTGGCCACCTTTTACCATTAGCTGTATTACTGGCATTTATATAATGCCGACAATTTACATTCACATCAGACCCTGATACAAGGAGCTTACAATCTAAGATCCCTATCTCACATTCATACATACACTTAAGACAGGAGCCAATTAACCCACCAGCATGTCTTTGGAGTGTGGGAGGAAACTCAAGCAAGCACAGGGAGAACAAGATACTCTATGCAGGTAGTGTCCCGGATGGGATTGGAACCAAGAACGCCAGTGCTGCAAGGCAGGTATTGTAGGCAGTCAAAGTGTTTCCAAGATGGAGAGTATAGTAGCTGTATTTCACCATATATTGATGCAGTAAAGCATTTATACTGTCCTCATTGCTCACCTATACAAGCCCTTTAAATGCCTTCAATACCTGTTGCTTACATTACTTGTTTTGTGTTGAGCACTAAGACATTGACTTTGACTGGAGTGCTGATTCCTGTGCCTATACCTTATACATATTATATATACCTAGAAATTCCCCTGGTCTATCCCTTTCCATTAATTTATTACTGATCTGGGATTATCAAGATTAAAAAATAAATGCATTTATTATATATATTTTTTTTAATCTTGAAAATCACAGATCAGTAATAAATTGATGGAAAAGGATAGATCACGGGGATTTCTAGGGACACATCCTCCCAGCTTGGGTCAGCTGATAAACACGAACAATTCCATAATATATATTATCATAATTACAATACATAAATATTTTCTAAAACAATGTTTTCTTCCTACAAATAAATAGCAACAACCATTCTACAGCCCCCTTTGTACCAGCCACTGCACAGTCAATTATCATCCAGAAGATCACACACTTCTAAAGAATTCACTTCTGCTGCAACTGTTTGATTTTTTTTTTTTTTTTTCCCTCTGTCCTCTTTGATTTTTCTCTCCTGTGGCCAATAAAGGATCATGTAGTTACAAGAGGGATGGTAACACCTGTACAGTGTAGCAGTGTGTAACCTTGTGATCTAATCCTGCACGCAGACACAACACCTTCTGTCTATGGAGGGCAAACAGACTGGAGCACACGTGCAGGGTTGCTCCAACATCACCCAGGTCATCTGCTGGGGTATTCGGAGAACCATTCTGCTGTTGCTTCTGAGAATGCTACTTGCTTGGCTTTTATGTTGATCCAGTGGTTTCAATGTGTCACTGACCTGGAACTAATATGGAGATCTTACTTTACTGGCTGCATGCTTGCTTCAGGTCAGCCACTCAAAGTATTGAGGCCAGAGATAGTAAGATAACTAAAATTGAAGTACAAGAATGGCAGCCTGTGTACAAGTTTCCATAGATTTAACTGTAAGCTGTCTGTTAGCTCTTCAATTCAGATGTGCTGTATATTAAACTATTGCCGATACTATTTTTTTAAATTGCTGTATTCATAGGAGTTAATCTAATACGATGATTAGAATATCGGCTCTGAATATCATCATGGGATTGCTTTATAATTCAGATTTAAAGCATGTGATTATATTTCTGATGGTAGCTATGCCTGCTGGCACGCTTGGCAAAACAAAGAAGGGTACTTTCCCTTTAAATCTTCACATTTGCTTGTACTGGTTTTAACCTCCTGATTAGCATTAAAAAAAAGCACTGACTATTTTGCACTTGTTCCCTTTTTACATTGTTTAGATCACGTACTTTATGATGTACTAGTGCAGAAGTGGCCCAGCCTTAACTTAAAAAAGCCATAAGCTGCAATAAAAAGTGGCAGAGCTACTTAAGAATAATTTTAAGTGTTTTAATGCCATGTTCTAAATTAGGCAATCTTTTCTCGGCTATGTAATTATGTGTAATGCAGTGACAGACTTATATTATAATGTAGTGTAAAGTGCACATTATTAACCCGTAGTGATCCAGATAAAACTTTTTATTTAACTTTTGGGGGGTCATTTAACTTCAACAAACTGATTATTTATTTTTTTTAATATACACCTTGCATGTAACTATTGTGACTTGCACTACCATACTAAATCAGCCTGTAGAGTTCAGACACATACTAAGCACTTTTTGAGAGGCTTTAGAGAGCCTAATCAGAAGGGGGCTGAGTGCTCCATGTGGCTTCCAAGTTGTTGGTTGGAGACCACTGTACTAATATATGTCTATCATATTCTCTGTCTACTACCTGCATTGACCCATGGCGGTTACTTATGTCTGTGTCTCTTCCTGCTTCTGCTCCAGGTTGACCATGGTAGCTGGGATTCGATCTCTGCTCCTTCTGCTGCTTTATCAGGTGCTGCTGAGTTGTTGCACCGGTCTAATCCCTGAAGTGGAAAGGAGGAAGTACACAGAGTCTGGCCGGGCCTCTCCCCAGGAGTCACAGGGCATCCTCAACCAGTTCGAACTTCGTTTGCTTAATATGTTTGGCTTGAAGAGAAGGCCAACCCCTGGCAAAAACGCTGTAATCCCTCACTACATGCTGGAATTGTACCACCTGCACTCAGCCCATCTGGCCGAGAACCAAGACAAGCCCCCCATGGATTATCAGAAGGAGCGTGCAGCCAGCCGAGCAAATACAGTCAGGAGCTTCCACCACGAAGGTAACACAAAAAACACCCCCTGACCTGTTACACTTCCCACAGTCTGTTTCCAGGCAAAGAAAGTCTGTAGCCTAGCAGCCGCTGAGGACATACAAGTCCCAGCTTCAAAAAGGCATGCTGGAACTTGTAGCCCTTGAGTAGTTGGATGGTTGCAGATAATCCACACCAGACCATGTTTCTCCTGCTCTCTAATTGCTTAGCATGTGTGAGCACCAGTGTGTTAATTAGCACACCTGATTATTAAAAAGTCTTTCAGGCACAATATTTATAACTAGTAAGTCATAGCTAATATTGTGTTTTTGTTTCTTGCTGCTGACTACTGAGGTATCCACTGTGTTCAGTGAGAAATGTTCAAGTTTTGAATGTTGCCATGAGCAAGCTGTAGATAAAAAGGAGTATGTTGCCTCTCTGTGAACATTCAGTAGCAGGCTGTGGATGATCAGACAATCATGAAATGAAAGCATATCTTAAACTAAAACCATCATGTAAAATATATTGCAGTTTACTATGCCTAAAGATGAGGTGGCTGCATTAGTTTTTCATTTTTCAGGCTTTATTCTCCTTTATGTTCACCTGGTAATCCTAGGAATAACCAGCTTCATATGCTAGCTTGGCTACACTCACTCCCTCCACTGGGAGGGGGCTATGATTGTCACCCAGGTTAGACATGTCCTTCTTTTTCATCTTCATTGCATAGGGGGTTTTCAGAAGGAAGATTTAGATTGTTTGATATATCGGTTTAGCTCACAGGAAGTGACAAGGACACTGCATTTCTGGCAAGATCAACCGTTTTTTTTTTTTTTTTTCTGTACTTGCTATAAATGTTCTTAATCTGAAAAATAAAATGAATGCAGCCACAACCTCAAATGACTAGTAGGCTGCCATATTTAAAATATTGTTCTTGGATTTAGATATCCTCTAAGAAAAAGAAGATATTCCTGATTGGGCAATGATCTAAAGCCGCTATTGACATAGACACAGGTTATGAATGCTATATCCAATAAAGAGGGGCGATAGTATAAACCTATCACCCAGCGTAAAGCTGGGCAAATACCATTCGCATTGCTTTACTGCCATTAGATGGCACTGGGGAGCATTCCTATGTTCATCTGCGCCATCTAGCGGTGGTAGTGCCATGCTAATGGCATTCACCCAGCATTACAGTGGACAGAAGGTTTATACATGACCTCCATAGTGTTTCACTACCATCACATTTTTCAATAAAGTTGGAGCTATACTTTAAGATCGTTATATGCTAAGGTAGCAGTGCATTTTTAGATGTGGTTCATCTGCCACACAGAAAGTGCAATGCAGTGTTGTCACTACAGTAATCTGTTTTTTTTATAGAGGTATCATGTATATGCTGTCTTAAAAACAGGATTCACTGTAGATGTGTTGTAACTTTTTGTAGGTGCCGTGGCATTTGGGGTCATGTGTTTGTAGACGTCACATAATGCTCATTATTATTATTGAAGAGACAATCTGTGAATGTCATGTGTTGCGCAATGTCCTGCAAAGAAAGGACCCTTACAGCGCAATGGTGGCGTGTTCACTGAATGCGTGAATGTGCCACACAGGAAACACAGCGCTAAGTGTGTGCTGGCCCTTCCATCATTGCACAGCTTCCCTTTGCCTCCATCCGAAGTGCAATACAGGGGCTTTGCTGGGTCTTGGCAGTTTAACTTTTGATAAAGCTGATTCTTAATTGCTTCTAAACACATTTTACATGTGTTGAGCCTGTGCTCCCTTCATCTCTGATTAGTGAAGCTTCAGTTTCACCACTAATTTATACCTTGTGAAGTTTATCCACTCCTTTGACCCTATGCGAGTCCCTCAGTTTGAGTTCCAAACCAAGAATTCCCACCGATAGATTTCATCTTTTAATGCTAAATGGGAAGCAAATCCTCTAATTTACAGTTGATCTGAGGTTGTTTGTAACATTTTCTAATCCTTATCTAATCCTCGTGAGATATTTAGACAATTTGTAAAAGCCTTGTTTTAACAATGACTTTTTTTGTCTTCTGTTAAGTCTTGGATAGTCTCTCTGAGGCTATAAGATAAATCTCACAAGCAGCCTGATAATAGACTCGCAGCAGCTGTCTGCTTGGCTCTGGCGTGTCTCTGAACACAGATGAAATGATTATTGTGTAAAGATGCAGAAGATTCTCTTCATACAGCATCTATTTTATTAGGTATAAATCCCGCCTGTAATCTTGCAAGTGCTCCAAGCAGGCCATGAGCGATTGCCTAAATTAAACAGTGCTTATTTAATTTTTTTGGTCATGGCTTAGGCGAGTATAACTTTGTGCTTTGCAGCCTATAGGGTTTGAACCTCTGAGTATTTTTGCTGTGTTCCTGCTAGGAGATTACCCTTTGGTTGGTACTGGTTGTGATGAAAATTTGTCTCCAGTACAGAAAGTGATGGGAGTTGCAAAATTGAGTTGTGACACAAAATCTTCAATAGGGAAACCAGCTCTAGTAACAACGTAGAGAGGTATCCCTTCACTTTTGGAGACATCTCCTTATTTCCTGCCATGTCTTGGAAAGGAAATTTCTTTGACGGGACACAGGCAGTGAATAAAACTTGATTAAAAGGATCTAACCTTTCCCTACTAGATCAAAAATAAATTATATTTACAAAGAACCTCTGGGCAAAAAAAAGTACCCTTGCAGTCACAGTACAAGGGTTAAGTGCTTGGCTTTTATCTAGGGACTGAAGTAGCGCAGAATTAGGTACCTGAACCCTGCTCACCTGGCAGTCAAAGCTCTACTCACACTAGAAAGGCCCTCAGTATCCTCACATCTATAGAATCTGCACGACATCAGCGGTCCTTAGCCTGCCAGCGCCCATGGGAGAAGAGGCTGTGGGGAGCGGTTTAGTAACCTAGCGGGAGTGGGGATCAGGTAAGTAAATCTGCTTTACTCCAGCCCCTAGACAAAAAAAAAGAGCACCTAACCCTTCCAATGGGATCAGTCGCTCCCCTAATAATGGCATTCAGTAACTTGAATGGCACCAGTGGGAAAAGGAAAGCCATATTTGCATAGGAAAGTTATTTTGTTACGCTCTACTGTTTCTTTATGTAGTCGACTGCAGTTTTAGATCCTGTCGCCAATATAAGGTTGAAAATGAAACTCTTGCCTGGAAAAAAAGGCGGTAAATACTCGCCACTCCTGCTACCCATGCCACTGAACACCGTATAGTTGCTTAAATACTGTCCCACCCAGCACTTTGAGAGCACCAATCTCTTTTGTCCCCTGCTGTGGCAGTCCACAGAAGGAACCAGTGAGCACATCACTACTGGACACAGTATTGACGTGGAAAACGGTGGTCGTGAAGTTGTTGTTTCCCAACAGACATGGACCTGAAGATCTAAACAGTGGAAACTGTGCCAAAAAAGACAAAGGAGTAGTCACCAGTGCAATCTGTGGTCTCCCTGTATCAGACCTTTTCCACCATTAGGCCCCGTTTACACTGAGCGGTTTATCACGCGATTTTTGTTGCTGCGAAATCACGCATATTTCTGCGCGATATCGCTCTATGTAGCTTGGCCAATGCATTTAATGGAGCTGTTCACATCTCACTGCTCAATGTCGCCTGTAGCTCGTCGCTCGTACATGACCCTTTTTTGCATGGATGTCGCGCAATTCGGCTCCAATAGACTCTTGTGTCGCGCAAAATTGCGCATTACCGGCTATATTGCGTGACTTTGTGCTACAGAAGGGTCACTGTTGCACTGCAAAATAGAAGGAAAGAATGATGTCACATCAAGATCGCTGTTGATTGGTTACAGCCCAATGTAGCAGCGACGAAGTCCCGCCCAAAAAGCGCATTATGTAGCGCGATAAAATGTGCAGTGTAGCTCAAAGCTGCTCAGGGTGCAGAAAAACGTGCACTATCCATATCGCTCAGTGTGAATGGGGTGTTACTGACTTGCACTGGCTATTTCTGCACTGTATCTCTGTATAGAGGTGCCCATCGTGGTAGAGGTAGGGCTTTTTCTTTGTATCGGAGCTGCCCCACTGATGGCTGGTATAGGAATTTTCAAGCGGCAATAGGGGCTGAGGAGGAAATCTAAATGAAGCTTAGAGATTCTTGCATTGAAGTTCCTCAGGTACATATTACTCTAAAGCAGGAATGGACAATTTAATATGGGATTCAGGAGCCAATCCGTCCTGTCCAGGAGCCAGCAGCCTTGACTACCACTAAAGAGAACCTGAAAAGTTAGATGCCAGCTGTAATTTCTAAGGGACATTGGCTACCTGCCTCCTCTACAGCAACTTAAAGCAGCACAGTAGTGACAAACCAGATCTCGCCACAAGACTCTTAAGACTAGCAACAGGGCCTCAGATGATCTTACGCTGAAGATATACAGCTATGTGGCTCAAGGCACAAGAGTTTTTTTCAGGAGGCATTAAAGGCAAAAGGTAGATGTTTCTACCTAGACAAAGTAAACCTTTCAATATGTTCCTTAGTACAAAGTGTTGAGGAGGCTATTAATGTTCCCTTAGGGCAGGCTTCATGCCCATGCATTGCTGTAATGCATGTTCTACCATGTTACCGCAGTAACCTAATTCGCGGTGCATTGTGCAGCATTTATTTTGAATGGCACCCCTATGCTTCTTGCCAACAATCAGATGGGAACCATCTGTGCATTGTGGTGTGTTAACGTACATGTCAAGTTTTATGCCTGTTGTGGTGCGTTTGTCAGCCCATTAAAAAAATAAAATAGAGGGCGGCACCTTTTTAATGTGCATGTGCTAACGTACTGGGCAGGTATGAAGGGGTCCTTTTTAAATCTGGAAGTATTCTTCCATGGGATACGGGACAGGAAGTCTCCTGCGTGTCAAAAGATTTGGTTCCCCACTATGTTACTTAAATATGTAAAGTGTTGATGAGGTCCAGAAATGTTTACCTATTTATATATGGATGTTATTAAAAAGTGTTTAACACAAAACATCTTGTCATATATGTTTAGCAGTCCTTTAATTATTTTTATTGG